TTAATCTCTCAACGACGACAACAACAACAACAACAACCACTCAGAGATCGCCCGCAGTTGCAGTTCCCTTCGACGATCTGAGCAAGTTTCTGCCGCCTGGCTACAAGGCGCCAAAGGAGAAGGATGAACCCAAGCTGCCAATTGCCATCACTCCACTGAAGATAGACGATATTAGCAGCCTGCTGCCTCCTGGCTTTAAGCTCAACGGCACCAGCAAACCCAAGCTGAAAGTGGCTGCCGAAGACGATGAGCTGCTGGCGTCGCTGCTGCCACCGGGCTACAAGCCGAGGCCCGTCCATCCCGCTTCGACAACGAGCACAACGACCAGCAAGCCAGAGCCCAGCACCACCGAGAAGTCGACAAACGAGAGCAGCTCCGGTGGCGGGCTTAAGGTGGTCTTTCCCAAGGGCTTCCACAAACGCCTGGGCTCCCATCGACTGACCACGCCCCACACTCCACACGAGGGCAGCGAAGGGGCACCGTCATCGCCGCCTGTGGTGATCAAGAAGGGTCCCCCGACACGCGCCACCACCGAGTTCACTGGCTGGCCCACGCCCCCCACCACACCGCTGTCCATAGACAAGCTGAATGCGCAGACCATCAACTTTGAGGATCTGCTGACTGCAGCTGGATCCAGCTCGACCACAAGCACCACCACTACAACAACAACCACTACGACGACCACAACTCCAAGGCCCACAAAGCCAGGCCATTGCACCGCTGACTGTGACTTGGAGGCAACTATCAAGATTATCGATGGCGTCGCCTGGAAGCCGGAGCTATTGGATCACAATACACTCGAGTGGAAGAATCTAGCCCACGAGCTAGAAGCACAGGTACAATGCATACCTCGATTTACTTACTCTCTCTCTAACTTAATCTCTCTTTAATTTCTAGCTCAATGAGGTCTACTCGAATGCTCCACAGCTAAGCAAGTGGTATAAGAAAGTGCGCATCGATAGCTTCAGCGAAGGCAGCGTATTGGTGGACTATTACGTGGAGCTGGCAAATATTACCGAGGACGTGGATACTCTGGAGATTAAGCAGCTATTCCACGATGCCCTAACCAAGCCAACAACGCCGCTGTTGCCCGAAAAGGATGCGCAGGAGAACGAAACGGATAGTGTGTCCGGGCCGCAGGAGGAGCAGCTAGTCAAGGCCAGCTACCAAATGGGCAAATTTGTCATTGATCCAATGGGCACCGAATTCAGTGGTGAGTAGGGGGATTTAGAGTATTCTTAATGGGAGTGCTCGACTAGAAGATACCCCAAAATACAGTTTCCGAGTAGATGGGCCCTATGTCTTGCTTGAGCTTGGCAATGGGGACTCGAATTAAATAATATTCTCTTAATACTCCTATCTAATTCTCCGCATTTGTTTCTTCACAGTCATTGCCAAAAATTTGCACACCAATGTGGAGTTTGCCGAAGATGATCTGCCCATTCCACAGTGGGCGATTGTCGTCATTGTCATAGGCGTTGGTTCGCTTGTCTTTGTCGTCATATTTGGTGTCACAGTGGTAAGTTGCATCCTCGTCCGCCTGTTGAAGCAAGCATTAATAACGCATTCATCCCGCTGCAGCTGCTTAATCGTCAGAAGCGCGCTAAAAAGACTCCGATTCCACTGACCAATGACATGCTGAATGAGCTAAAGGTCAATCACATGGGCGGTGCAGACAACTATGGCGTTGATGACTTCTACAACATAGACGATCCCTGGAACGATACCAAGCAGCCCATTAAGCCAAAGGTAAGCAGAATAAGCATCTAGTGAGAACTTCCTTCAATATGCTTTAATTCCCTTATATCCCTTATCTCTTTTCAGCGTTTCACCAATTCCATGCATGGCAGCAATAGCTCGAACATCTACGATAGCTGGCGCTCGACTCGTCATCCAGCACCCAGCAGTGGCGACTATTTCTATGATCAACAGCCCACGTATTCGCAGAAGGGCGACTCTCTGAAGCGGGCGACGCCACAGAGTCATCATCATCATCACCATCATCGGCAGGAGCAGTATCCTGCAGGACATCAGCAGAGCTATGGACATCAATATCCGGACGCCTTTGCTGATGCGCATCAGATGTACAGTTACAACAATCACGCGAGTCGAACGCGTTACGCCCGCGACTACGATCCAGATTTTTAGTTTAGTTTCCCAGCCACCCCAAGAATAACCTTGCTCTAGCTTTAGAAAATTGCAACTGATTCGGTAGTTGCGACTTAATAGCTTAAACTTTATACGTATGAGTAAATTATATAGCTGCTCAGTAACATATTTACACACTAAATAAGTATAAGGCAGGTATCTATGTACTATATATACTCATTATATCTGTGAGTTGGCTTAGCTTATGGAGCTGTCCCTTATACACCTAATTGATGTCAATCATCTATTTTGTTTACTAAATCGAAAATACTTGTTCTATATGTAACATATATGGGACATAGGAGTTCGCATTTGAGCTTCCAGAAATAAATAGTCATGCACTTTTAGTTAATGCTAGATTGTAATTATATTGTAGTCACATTGAATAATTTAATTACTGGCGGCATAATATATTACAATTCACCCAACTTTATATGTAGACAATAAATAAAAGATTAATTGTATATTTAAGCTTTGAATTTTTATTTAAAATATTCTTCATGGGAAAAAATTAATAAATCAAAAAAGTTTCGATTTGCCGAAACCCGGGATTGAACCGGGGACCTTTAGATCTTCAGTCTAACGCTCTCCCAACTGAGCTATTTCGGCACATGGCGATACGTTTTCAAATAAAGTATTTAGAAACAGCAGTTCTGTCAAAGTCTTTCGACATGGTTTGAGTCTCTACTAAAAGCTTCAACGCAGATTTACTATAGGGAAACTAATTTAAAAGAAATAATAACTAAATAATATTTATTTTTAAAATTTTGTGTCACTCCCTTATTCGTCTGTTTAAAAATCATTGAGAAAAAAAACTTGCTATGCCGAAACCCGGGATTGAACCGGGGACCTTTAGATCTTCAGTCTAACGCTCTCCCAACTGAGCTATTTCGGCACGTGGTTGGGTCCTGCCAAACATATTATTTCCAGTACAAATGTAGGAAGATAGACTTTCATTCAACTTTATTAGAATTATCAAGTCAGTTATTTGCAAGGGTCGACAAAATCAGAAAAATAAAATTATTGTTACGAGAACACTTCCTCAATAGTGACAAAATAAATATGAAAGGTTTAAATAAAGCGTAATAGACATTTCATATCTTTTGAATCATTTTGAAAACAGCATAACAATACTTTTATTTTGTAAGTAGGAATGTATTCCAAAAATATGTATTCGATTTAAATATAGATATATTCAAAGTAAAAAGTAAAAACAAAAAGTTACTTTTCTGCCGAAACCCGGGATTGAACCGGGGACCTTTAGATCTTCAGTCTAACGCTCTCCCAACTGAGCTATTTCGGCCACATTGCACTTTGATTCTAAATACAATTTTGTTCCTATAGGTCAGAGAATATACAACATTTACAGTTTTCGCTTTTGCTTTATTTCTATTGGTTTTCGTCATTTTGCAACATCACAATATACAAATATGTATGTGTGAGCCCTAATTTATATATATAATTTAATTAAAAATATAGACAGAAACGTTTACTTCAATACATTGTAATTTACTTCTTAAGTCTTTGATTATATGAATTTTAAAGATTGTTTACAACGATTTGTTAATCTTTTATGAAGAATTTAGCAGGATTTCCGCTCTTGTTCATAAAGTTGTCAGTTTATCAATTTCAGATAGAGCTTAAAAGTTAACATTCAATTTGTTCTTGTGTCTGTTGTATGTATGTATGTCTCTTGTATGTTATCTGTTGTATGCTAAGTTTAATTGAAGTGTTTTTCGATAATGAAATCAATACAGGTTCGTTCTAGGGATTCTTATATAGCTACTAATTGTTACAATTTAATTCAAAGACAGTTAAAAATTTTTACTAATATCACTTTCTAGAAATTTGTCCAATTCGTATCGTTCTTCAATTGTAACGTATCATGTGCCTACATATAATTTGTTCATCGAAATATTTTAATTAGTTTTGGCATAAATTGAGTCGCAGGCCGAGCCGAGCCAGCTAAAAAATAAAGTATTTAATCAAATTCAATTTAAATAATTTTCATTTATTTAAAATTTTTAAAATAACTAATTAGAATAATTGAGTAATTTTTCAAGTGTTTTTTTGATTTGTAATTGTATTTGTGTTTTTGGTGTTTAGGGAAGGGTGAATGATGATGAGTAAATATTTCAATTAAAATTACATTTTTATGAATATGTATAATGTGCTCTTTGTGGGACTGAATGATTTTTTTGTTTTGTTTAGAAAATGTGTGCGTGTGTGTGTATTTAAAGACAATATTAACAATAAAAAACTTAGCATTGAGTTGATTTCTTTATAAATGTACAAAATATAATTAGTAAACATAAAAATGCATTTAAAACTAAACAAAAGCAATAAATTGCTGGTTCAATGCCTACAATTATAAAAACTTGTTATCGTGGTTGTTTTTTTTTTGTTACGCCTAATTATTAACTATGATATATATATATATGTTTTATA